GGGTCCAGGTTAGGGCTGGACCCAAAGCCTACTGCAAACCTTGAGTCCCAAATCCTCAATCCACACGCTCAGCCCGACCCCCTGCAACTCTGAACCTGTCCCTACAAGCCGTACAATCGCCCCCAAGATCTGATACAGCATGGTATGGACTAGGCTTTAGAGCTTGATCGAAGAAATGTACGTTAGGGGCCTTGATAATTAGAATAGGGCTTTGGGGTCCATTATACTATAACTGTAGAGGAACCCCCGAAATAGTGTAGGTAGTGTTTATAAGGCTCCTACATTACAATAAGAGTCCTTATCCAGCCTCAGAGCATTTCGCTACCCCGGAGCCGAATGCTTCAAGCGTCCGGCGGCGGAGGTGCCAAGCTGGGTGCCACAGTAAGGACTTCTGCCAGCTCCTCAGCCGAGGTGTTGCTCTGCGTAGGGTTTGTAGAGGCTTAGGGCTTAGGGTCTAGACCCATAAATCCCAGATCCTAAATCTAGAGTTTGTGCAAGCAGTCACCGTGCGCGTCGGGCAGGCTGTTTGGGATTTTCTGGGAAACTTGCAGCCCAAAGAAATTCCCTTTACAGGATCGACATTGTGTTGTCCCCAAAAAGATGTCCATGTATTGGTCACCTAAACATTACACCCTAAACCCGAGTCTCGTAATTCAAGCCGAGGTTCTATGGATAGCACGGGAGCGTAGAGACCCAGGGTCGGACTCTATGGTTGACTGTCACAGCTTAATCACCTCCTCCACCCAAAGAGCATAATATTCAGTGCCCCTTACAGCCACGAAGGAGTGTTGAACCCGAATAACAACCGAGCTTAACCCTAAGCCCAAATATGCGAGTCTAAACCTAAACCCTGGATCCAAGTACACGAGTTTGCCAACTACTATAGAGGCCTAGATAATTACTAATACGATTTTAGGGGCTCCTTATTATAAGTATAGTATGATGGGCCCCAATACCCCATTCTAATTGCTTAGGCCCCTATAGTATGGCCTCGAGTCTGGCTTTTCGTTTCCTGAAGGATTGCTAACCTGAAGGTCCCGAGTTGAAGCTGTTGACAAGTTTGGGCTCGGGGATGAAGGGATTTGGGGGTTTAGGGGGGTTTTAAGGAAGTTTAGGGTTGAGGGGTTTAGGGGTTTGGGGGTTCAGGGGTTTAGGGGCTAGGGCTAGGGCAAGCAGAGAGTTCAGGGTTCAGAAGTAGTGTATCGGTCTCGCGGAGATTGTTGCAGTAGTTCTTTGTCACTGCAATGAGGATCCTACTATTTGGGGCTTATCATCAGGGATACCGACTGCTTCCCGAGTATCAGCATCAAGCGCATTAGTGTCTTAAAGATCAACATTACCGCTATTGCAATAGCATGCATTCTCATTCTTTGCCAGTGCCTTAGCATCCATTACCTGCAGCCTCATCGTCACGATCGTCATCGCCAGCCTCCTCCTCTTCCCCCTCCCACCGTCAGACTCATCTTCCCCATCTGCATCATGTGCATCGCCATCGGAAGAACAAGACTAGTGATGACAGTGGCGACAAAGAGACTCACATCCTTGACACGAGTGTATGCTGCTGCAGATCTGGTCCGGATGACCCTTGCCCTAAATCCGAAACCCGTGAGCCAAAACCCTGAAACCTAACGCCCGGAACCCCAAACACCGAAATGCTAAAACCTAGAACAGCAAAAACCTGAAACCCCAAGCCCCAAGAATATCTCAAAACCTCCCGAAACATGCCAAAACACCAACACCCAAAAGAGGCGAGAGTCTTTCGTGTTCAGGATCTCCTGAGGAGGGCCCTGCGCCAGGACCCGCCCTCCTCCAAGTAGCACGATGCGATCGAAGTGCTGCAGACACCTTCGCAGCTGGGATTCAAGAGTCGTGTTCTCTCTCCTTTTTGTTGTTTGGATTTGGGGTGTTTTGAAGGGTTGTTTCTGGTTAGGGACTTTGGGTTAAGGGTTTGGGGTACACCTTCGGATTTGGCATTCGGGTTTCTTTGTTTGGAGTTTTGGGTTCAGGATTTAAAGTCTCGGGTAGTGGGATTTCGGCTTGTAGGGTTTGGCTGCGGAGGTTAATTATAGGGTGCCACAGGGCTATCATCTGGGGTCTCTTCGGCATATGAGGCGTGGGATGGCTTCGCAAAGCTTCATTAAGCAGTTCCCAGTTGGTCTCAACTATGTGCGCTCTCTTCTCCTATGACCAATGCCAAAAAAGTTCAAACTTCATTTTAGAAGCCACACCTAAACCCTAAACAAGTTTAAAGTTCTTCTGTCGGCTTTGCAAGTGTGTAGGGGACCTAACGCCCAACCAAACCAAGAGCCAGCTAAGTCCCCGGCCCTGAGACCTAAACCTCCGGATCCTAAAGAAAGCCTGAGGGTTTAGGGTTTAGGGTGAACCCACTAAATCCAATCTAGACAGCCTAGATACGCTCTTTTGCGAATTAGAAGATCCATGAAAGGCTACTTGCGGGAACCCGAAATCCATGAATCCATAAAGCTTTACACCCGAAATCCCAAAAGCCCAAAAATCTAACCCAAAAGCCGAACCCAAAGCAAACAAAACAACTTACTGGGTTTCGTTCGGGTTTAGGGTTTAAGGCTTAAGTTCGTAAGGCTTAGGGTCTCGAGGACTTTGAATCCCTGAGCCCCAGAAGGGGGCCTCGCACTGGTGTTGGCCATGGCAACCACCAGGGCGGCGTGCTTCGCACGGGGCCGGGAGATGCAGGCGTCGAGCATCTCTTGCGCTTCCTCAGTTAGGTCTACACTTGGAGGATCATGGGACTGTAAGGTTATAAGTACCTTAATTGGGGCTATAAGTGTAGTTACCCTAATTCGCCTCGGCCCCGGCCGAAGCGGTCAGAGGTTCCTATTCGGATTCCCTATTCCCCACCTCTTAATCCCCTCCAGTGACCCCCCCCCCCTTAAAAATGGAAATGTGTCACCTCCCCCCCCCTCCCCCCCCTCCCCCCCCCCTCCCCCCCTCCCACCCCCCCCCTCCGAGATTAACCCGCTTTACAACCAGAATCCCTACTTTACAACTAGAATCCCCACTTTACAACCACAGACATTGTTTTCCGTGTGAGAATCCCCACTTTACAACTGCCGATCGTGAGAACGCCCACTTTGCAACCCGTCTACCCATGATTAAGACTTATTGGGATTTCATGATTTTTTTACAACAAACCTACCTAGATTCCTAATAGTTTGTTGGTTCTTTGACCCCCTAAAGTGTTTTACGTGGCCTTCATCCGACCGTGGCCCCAAACTACTAAGATCTCGAACATCCCTAAAATTGCTTCGTCGCATGATATCATTGATCTTTGTCGTCTGTGGGTGCTTCTGTGCGCCTGGCTGGAGGCAAAGCAGTAGTTGAGGGCTGCTCCGGATTATATGCACCCGAACCCTTGTTTAGAATATGCACCCGGACCCTACGCCTTAAACCCTAAGCCCTAAACCCTCGTAAAGCCACTAGGTTTAGAATATGCACCCGAACCCTACGCCTTAAACCCTAAGCCCTAAACCCTCGTAGAGCCACTAGGTCTAGAACCCTAACCACGCTATCCTTGCACACTATACCCGGCCCGCAAATGCTGCAGAACCCGTATGGGAACCCCGTACTTGTATGGCGTAAAACCGTAAATACAACATCAAATGTAATAAAAATGTTCGGGTTCATGTACTGGCTTTAATATAAATATACATATATATATATATATACTAAAAAATGCATACCTGCGCTCTGGTGAGAAAAGAGTCCGTCTGTGAAGCGTGGTGCTGTGGAGTTCGAGGGTAGGAATTTGGTTACATGTTACTGCGCTTTGCACTCTAGCCTTGCCTGTGGTGGGTCGGTGGGTTGGGGTTCTAAAAGGTCATGTTTTATGTATGCTTTCCTCAATACAAGCACACAAAAAAGGAAAATCATTTTTTGAAAGTACTTGTATGGCGTAAAACCGTAAATACAACATCAAATGTAGTAAAATGTTCGGTTTCATGTATTGGCTTTAATATAAGTATAAGTATAATTATAAATATAAATATAAATATAAATATAAATATAAATATAAATATAAATATAAATAAATAAATAAATATATATATATATATATTTATATAAGCTAAAAAATGCATACCTGCGCTCTGGTGAGAAAAGAATCCGTTTCTAAAATGGTCCGAGTTTGCCTGCAGGGAGTGAGTTGGATACAGCTTGACGGCCGCAAGTGCGTAAAGTGCAAACCACTATGCAACAACACGCTTGCTGAGGTGAGCATCTAAACAGTATCATCGATACCAAACCCTATATATATATATGTATGTACACACACATATCCATCGAGGTTTCGGGTTAAGAACGCCCACAATGCAACCAACATCACTTTCCAACCTGCATGGCTGCCGTAAAGGATGATGCTAGACATTCTAGGCTTTGACGTTATCAGTTAATAGGGTTGTTAAGAAGCTTTCCCAACCGCCTTTACTGATACTACCATTACTAATACTATTCACAATCATCCTGCTTCGTGTTGCTATGAACATTACTTTTACTATAAGTGCGATTCCAACTGTTACTTTTTTCCTACAAGAGCTTGCTGCAGATAGTAGCCACTCGCCGCATGCGCGTACAGCCGGGCCGAGGCGGACGACGCGCAGCGTTTCAATTACAACCCTAGTGACTAAGCCCCATGATCCTTTAAGCAAGCCCGAAGGGTCCAAGTACTCTCCATTATAGGACTCTGGGGTCGGTTTCGGTACCATTTTTATAAGGGTCAGGGAAGGGCTTCACGGATGCACTGACACATGCCACGTTAGGGTGCGGTGCAGCTACATCTTGTCTGGCCTAAGTTCTGCCGATGGTCGGAATCTTACCGTAGAGAATCACTTTGCCGCAAACCGCGAACCATGCATCGAGATTAACATGCTCAAGAACGCAACGTGCCACGATTTAACGTGCTACAGTTTAGATTTCTGTCTTGGAGCCGAGTATTGAGGCTAATGCAGGACCGCTCATGCAAGGAAGCAGTGATCGCAAACAAATAGGTACGTCCATGCAACCCTCTAAACTGTAAACCCTAAAACTCTAATCCCTAAACCCCCCAAAAAACAAAAAAAACAAACCTAAACCCAACAAACCACAAAGGCACAACACCCAAAACCCTATTACTACTATTACTACTACTACTACTACTATTACTACTATTACTACTATTACTACTACTACTACTACTACTACTACTACTACTACTACTACTACTACTACTATTACTACTATTACTACTATTACTACTGAACCCCCGGCTCCTAAATAGGGTACCCAAGCTTCCTCAGGGTCCAGAAGGCTCAGGGCATCGTCCAGGAGGATGACTTCAGGATCCTCTGACATCTGCCCCACAAAACGCACAAGGGTTTAGGGTTTTTTTTTTTTTTAAAGTGCAATGGGGCCTTTTTCCGCAGAGGTCCAGCCGGTTATCGGCTTGCACTACCACAGATCACTTACGGATCCATGGAACAAACACGAACAATGCCTCTCACAAGCCCAACAGGTCTCCCTTCAGTCAACTACTGCCACGACGTCGACTTGTGCGGACAGATGCTCGACGACGACTCAACGACACAGACGAGGTACCATCACCTGCTCCTTCTCCAAGAGCACCATGACTAGCCGCGGGCACAGCAATGTGGGTGTCCCGACTACGACTGCGTTCACGATGATCACGATGAGCACCAACAGGGACGGCACCTACCACATCGCCAAGTCCACCAGGTACCACAAGACGAGGAGCTGGACGAGGTAGGTGAAGACGACGACGATGTCGAACAACCCGACGGTCAGGAGCCGAAGCGAGCACTGTTTCGGAAGGGGCATTGTCAACCATCCGGTTTTCATCTGCTTGCACCAGATATAACTCTTCATCATCTTCGGAAGGCCAATGTCCAAGTGGAACATCTCGTCCAGCAGCCGCATGGAGATCTCGAACATGTGCACGCCATCCTCGTCGTCGGAGTCCTGCAATAGTATGCCTCGCCATGTGGGGTAAAGCGTCCCATACCTGCTGCAGCGTGCTCGGGAACCCAGGTTGAAGTAGAACAGCAGGGGCCGTGACAATCTGAGTCGTACCTGCAGTAGCAATCCCCAGTCCTTGTGCAGCTTCACGGCGAACATGCCCCCAGATGCGCGTCTCCATATTCGGGCCATTGAAGACCAATGAGTGTTGCGGTACGGGGAGCCAAAGTAAAGCCTCTTCGACCGCAATGCCCAGGAGCCTAGAGAGATGATTCAGCCGACGCTGGCGAGCTTGTAGGCGATGGAGGACCTCCAGTATATCACTTGTACTGGCATAGACAAGCTCCCTGTTAACAGCATCTCTAACCACATCCTCAGGCGTCACCCGCGTAGACGTGGTGCTTGTCGTGCACAGGAGGTTCTCTACCTCACCCAACGACAATAAAGTCCAAGACGTAGTTGTGGTCGTAGTAGATGACGAAGTCACCCAAGCGCGAGTCTGCCACAAACCAACCTGATCATCAGGATGATCATCAACCCACAGCGTTGTCGTAGAGGTCGTCGAAGAGCCTGAAGCCGACGAAGGGTTCTCAGTCCAGATACCAAGAAGTTCCCCCGCCAGCGCTTGAGCCACTGAACCATGAACTGGAATCGGCGGATCGTCACGAGCAGGTCGTGGACGATTAACCGGAGAAGGAGGTGGAGGGCCACGAGGTGGGGTGCCAGGACGAGCAGGGGGAATACACACCAGTTGTCCATGCTCGTTGTACGCCATCTCACTGTTAAGCGACCTCCGACTTTCACTGGAGGAGCTGCCCGTGCTGCTTCGCAGACCCGAGCGACTGCGGCTTCTACTGCGAGATCTTTCGGACCCACCATCCCCCAACTCAATCACAGGAGCCTGAGGCTCAGAGCCCGCACTGGCTTCAATGTGCACGTTGTTACCATCCACATCCGTAGCGGGGGCTTGGTTCACATCACCTGGCTGTTGGTCCTCACCAGCCTGAAGGCGTACTTGAAGATGTCGGTCGAAGTTCTCAGCAAAAGTGGTCGCCAGGTTACGAGCCCAGTTGAACAAATGCCACCGTTGGAGTTCTTGAGCTGGTACACGTTGAAGAGGAAGAAAACCACGTGGTTGTAGGCGTCGAACCAAGACCTCATACATTGCCTCTACGACAGCCATCCCATCCTCAATGCGCACCAACAGTCGCCCCAATGCCCATCGCGACTCGGGGCCTCGATCCTCATCATTGTGCACGTCAAGGATATGTAGAAAGTTCTCCAGACGATCGATTCCTTCACGGTCAACACCTGCTTCTTGAAGACGAGCACGCTCCGAACCTGTCATCTGCATGAGGGTGACCGTGGTGGTCGTAGCAGCAACGACCTGCGGGTCAAGACCAAAGTTAGGTACAGCAGGAGGAGTGGAGGACGATGTAGTAGATGACCATTCAGTTCGCCACCATTCTGCCGACCAAGACGACCAGGAGTTCCAGGAAGACGAACTCCAAGAATGGGCATCCCAAGACGACGAAGCACCAGCATCGTTAGACCACCATCCCATGTTCCACTGCTGTCCAGACCACGGATCCCAGTCCTGTTCAACAGAAGTGTCAGCACTCACCCCAGCCACGTTGCCACTTGTGTCGTCAGCAGGTACAGAGCCGGACGAGGTGTCCCTCTCTAGAGAACGTCCCAAGAAAACAGCCATGATCTTGGGGTCAACGATGGGCTCCGTCGCCATCTCAACATTCTCCTCGCGAATTTGTTCCATAGCTCGCTGGCGACTCGCTTTTTCGGTAGCATACCGTTGGAGCCATGCCGGTTTCCAGGTGCCACCAAGGTAAGCCTGCATGCGGCTTTGCTTACGAGCCATTCGTTGAGGTCCCATTCCACCCCGATGGGCACGAAGCTCTGCAGGTGACCTGCATCTAGCTTGCCACTCACCATGTTTCCAAAAGCCAGGCCCATCATCAGTGCAGGACGAGTTGGCACCGGAAGTCTCATCATCGGTGCCCGAAGTCGTACTCCCCGCAGTAGTGGAGGCTTCAGCACCTAAAGCACTAGCACTAGCCCAGACATCAAAGGTTTCACCATAGAAGCTCGTCGCTTTGACAGTGGGATCACCATCAACACTCCCAACACCAACGACAGTGAAGGGTGGGACAGATAGTTGATCCGAAGAAGAGCTGGTCGATGAAACCTCACCCGTCACCTGAGCTTCGCGGCGTTCCCGAGCACGATTGCGAATCGTGCCGTTGGGGTTGTGCCATCTGTCGATACCAGGGCGCGACTGACCAAAGCGAGATGTCACCCCAATCGAAGGTGTAGTAGGAGCTGAAGCCAAAGCGTTATCCACCAGAAGAGTGGCCGGGTCACGACCATGAGGGAGAGCAGCAGGTTCAGCACGACGACCACCATCACCCCCACGAAGAGCACGATGATCTCGTACAAGCTCGAGCCAGTCGGCAGCAGCCTCCCCCTCTAAGTTTCTAGCTTGTCCTGCGAAGGGCAACGGTAGATTTTCCGGAATAGGGGCAAGGGCGTCACTGCAAGAGGGTTGAAGGTCACCCAACTGCAGAGCCAAGCCAATTTCCTCGTCCATCACCACCGCTCCACCACCCGAGTCGACCGCGTCAGACCAGACGGCAGGCCAAGCAGAGGAAGGGGAATAGAAAAGTCCGCCCCCAGACGAAGAACTCGAAGAAGAAGTCTGCTGCCATTCCCAGGTTGTACTCGAAGAGGACGATGAGCAGATAGGCCATTGTGTACTCGAGGACAAAGAAGTCGACCCAGGCCACGGTGAAGACGACGAAGAGGAGTTGGAGGTCGGCCAAGGAGGAGCATGATCAGGAAGGTTGTCTCTCTCAGCAATCGAGTCGACAACAGTAGGTGGGCAGGCGGGCAAGTTGGCGGCAGGCACAGACAACTGCCATTCAGACAGCTGCGCAGTCCAGTCGTCGTGACCAGGAGGGGCATTAACCACGGTGTCATTCTCCCAGAAGGCTGCAATATGAGCGGCAACCGCTTCAGCGGTCCAGGGCCGCCGGGGATCACGACTTTCTTCTCCTTCTTGATGGACAGCGACGATCAGAGGCAACAGCGCGACCAGGCACTTCACCCAAAACTGGTAGAAGGTGAGCGCCATGGAGAGCAAGGGGGCGCAGAGGGAGATGGCTTTTGCGAGAGTTTTCGCACCTGGGCCAAAGCAAACACGAAGGGAACGCATTCACCCAAGTATCAGAAGAGCGTGAGCAAGAACAGCATGTTCGTGTCGTACATGTACTGCAACAACAGGATTATGTCAATCTTGGAGTACAGGATGTGTAAGGGCATGATTGCAGTAGGATTCAACGAGACATTGACGGCAGTCAAATTGCAAATCACTCAGCCCCCCAACAAGAGGCTTCATCGTAGCAAACTAACAGTGAATCAACATCTCAAAGAGAGCTGGCGACCACTGCACCAGCGAACGTCCCATTCGGTGATATATTTTGCTCGCACACCGCTCCATGCAAGTCGGTCTTGAGCTAGGACATGCCATAGAGGACCACAACTTTGGGCGAGCTGTCGTTCAGCATTGGAAGCGTAGAACTGATGCGGATGACGAACAGAACATGACCGACTAAGCTGCTGCTGTCCACGCCACCAAGCGGTGTTCCTCCACATCACAGCCCTCATCGGTGCACATGCTCGAGGTCGACCAGAAACAATCTCAACCCTTCTGGCCCAGTGACCGTGGAGAGTGTGCTGTAGAGTAAGGACCTTCTCAGACCAACGTCGAACATCGTTAGACACAAGCCAGAGACGCACAAACCTCAGACTCCTTTGATTCCAGTCAGCCCAGGATTCACCTGCTGTCCTTCGCAGCCCAAACGCAGAGCGGCAGGTGTGAAGCTGGAGCACATTCAAAGCATGTAAATCATCCTTACTCCAGTGCAAAGCGCCAGCTGTCCAGCTGAACTGAGCCTCGATCAGCGTGCTCATCATCTTGACCTTCTTGAGCCATGCTCCAGGAGCACGAAGGATATCTTTGTGGGCGGCGGCGGCATCACGCGCGCGGGCGATGAGCTCGCGAGCTTGCTCGGATGCATCCCGTGACAAAGAGAAGCTCAAACCAAGGACCTTAAGAGAGTCACCCTCATCAGAGATGCGAAAAGTATTGTCACCAACTCTGGCACAACGGGGTCCCGCATAATGGCAGTTGGCAACAATCTTGGTCTTCCCTTTGGCAAGCGTGAGCCCTGCTTGTTGGAGGCAACGGTCAACGATGTTGATGCGCTTACAAAGCCTGCCAAACTCGGTCTCAATGATGAACACGTCGTCCTGGTAAAAGAGCAAGTCGACCCCAAGCTCTGCAATTGGCTGTCCAAGATCACCCCATCGCCTGCAGCTGACAAGTTCAGAAAGGAGTGAGTCAACGACAAGCCCGAATAGCTCGGCGCTCTCAGGCGCGCCTTGCTTAATCCCATTATCAGGCGACAGGCACACTTGCTTCCCGCCAGGGGCATTGCCAACAAGATGGTGAACAGCGAGCTGTGCAAGGAGATAACGTAGTTCAGTACTCACCCCTTTATGGCGAAGACGACGACACAGGAGTTCAGCGACTTTGCTGCGCTCAACCTTATCAAAAGCACCCGCAACATCGAGCTTGCAGACGATAAGCGGATGAGCCCATTCCTTGGTGATATCCCTCAATCTCGAGATAGCTCCGATGAGGTCGGCAGCTTGTCGTCCTTTACCGCAACAGCTGACAGAAGAGCCCTGGCGCATCAAAGGAAGGGCCCGGGAGCAGACAAGTCGATTCACAAGTTTGTGAAATGCCGACGACACGCAAATCGGTCGCAGGTCAGCAGGACCAGTTGGAAGTTTGACTTTGGCAAGCAGAGCTAAGAAGCATGTCTCCCAACTGTGAGGAAGTTCACGACTTTGAACAATGTGATTGATGAGCCCAAGCAATCGAGGTCCAAGAGTATCGTCTGAGGCGATTTCTCGAAGGAGGTGCACCCCGATTCCATCAGGGCCGACCGCACTACGACACTTCATCCCTTGCAACTCAGTGCGAACATCAAGCAGCGTGAAAGGCATGAAGACGTCATCCTCGTGTGAGTTCTGAATGTAGGCGAGGAGTTCAGCTTCCCAAACATCAGCCGACCTGTCAGAACTGCACATTTTCTCCTTGAGATGCAAAGAGATACGAGCTGCAAGATCCTCAGAGCCCTGTTCAGCAAGTAAGTTCCCCCACCAGCCACGGCGGCGCTTCTTTTCGTTCTGGAGTTGTCGATAAAGATCCCAATCGCCAGCCAAAATGCGGGACAGACGACTACCAGCCCAGAGACGGCGGTGCTGCTTGCGAAGTCGATGCACCCGCTTCCAGTCGGCCGGTAGTTTGGAAACTTTGGCAGCGATGATGGCTTCCTTGATCTCCGGACTGTCTTGGTACTTTTGTGAAGTCCTCGGTTTAGTGTGCGACTTGGCAAGCTCAATAAGGTCATCCTCGTCAACGATTTCCATATCTGGAAGCTCACGATAAACCCACCTCGCCCGAGAGTCGTTACCCCATTTGGTCTTGCACGAGCCACCCGCAACAAGGATATCCCCCAGAACGATGGCGTGATCAGTCCCAATGACATGTCGCCTGTCCGGCTCAATGGCTAGAGGGAGCACGTGAAGATGACGGGCGAAAATCATATCGATCTGCCTGCCAGACCTCGTCTCATCACGAGGATAGTGAGTTGCAACAAGACGATCAGAGGCACGAGGAGGGACAGGATGCACACCATGCTGGAGTAGTTCATGAACGAGAACCTCGAGGTTAGCACTACCAAGGCCATGGGATAAGTTTTCACCCTCATCGAACTCCCAGTTTGTCGACTCATTGGCGTCAGCACCACAGATGACAGGTAGATGCCGATACTTATGAGGACAGATGCGAGAGAATTCCTGCGCTGCCGCCTGATAAACACGAGTTGTGACTCCAGTGTGGCAATGGACCGAACCAAGGAGGACACGTCCCAACCCATGAACCCGGGCGACCACCCAAATCCCCCTTTCACTGGCATGTTTCCAGATGATGGAGTCAAATTTGTCGATTGCCACCGCGATACCAACCCCTCTCCATTGGCGCGAATCACGATGTACAACCCAATGAAATTCATCACTGTCAAAAGAGTCCCACCCTGGTTCTCCACGAGCAATCTCCTGTACAAAGAGGATGTCGCAGTCTTTGCAAGCGACATCGAGGAGTCCAGCATCTTGTCCTCCAAGGTTCCACGAAGCCGATCTGCCCCATCTGCGTTTTGCACACGGATTAGACAAAGTCACCCCATTTTCCTTCAGAACAACAGGGCAACCATCAGGAACGGAGGCTGCATTCTCAATCTGAGTGAAACCATCATGCTCCGGGCGTCACAACTCGCGCTCGAATGCCCCACGGGCATCATCTGTCGAGCAGCCGGCAACACGGGCGACAGCAGAAACATTAATCCACCCTCCCGTCATGGTCCGGAATTCATCATCACATTTCGGTTGCCGGTGAGAAGAGCTGCCAAGCTTTTCCGATCCGCACCATATGGTTCCCATGCTCCAATCACAATCATAGGCAGCAACAAGTGTGTTCGTCCCGTCCTCGCGTCCAATGTTGTCTTTGGCAAGTGAGATCACAACTCTCCTTGTCATACTAACATGCGTGCTGCGAGTCCTGGCGGCTTTTGTCTTCACGAACGATGCCCACAACGTCTTCTCGTCACCCGCTGCCTGCGTGCTTGGCAACACGTGCTTCATCCTTGCAAGAGCTCGGACAAGTTCCCACATTCGATTTTTTACATGCTGAAATGATTCACCCTCTCGGACAGCGAACTTCAACATGCCGACTGAACGTCTGGGTCCAAACACAAGCAACCTATCACTGTCAACGAGGCTCTTGATCTCCGGCACAGCGAGAATCACCCCAAACTCCTCCTCAATGACCGCACGACGAGTGTCTTGAGCCCACCCTCCGATGACAAGGGTTTTCTTATCATCCTCAGACAAAACATCACCCCGCTCAGGCTCGGTCGTCTGCACGTTCCTACGATCACCACTGGAGCCAGCAGCACGATTCTGAAGGTAGTCACTCCAAGGGTCAGCACGAGCATCCTCAGGAGCAGGTCCACGATGATCAACTGCAGGGGCCTGAGGACGAGCACTGAGATCATCAAACTTAACCTTCATATTCTGGACCTCAGCAGTCAAGTTCTCAAGGGCTTTTGCTTGATTCTGCATCGTTGCTTTGTGCTGATTTTGATCTTTTTCAAGCACCCTCGTCCTCGACTGGAGGTTGGAGATCTCAAAGCTGGACTTGGCTTGTTCCTTTTCAACGCAATCAAGCCTGCCTTGAAAAGAATTCCATGCAGTCTTCATCTCAGTGACATGACCAAGGAGAAGGTCTCTGATTTCACGAGCTGTCAAAGGCTTTTCATCACACACCGAGGCTCGCTTGGAAGGACTATCGAACTCATCTTCAGAATCAGGAACTGGGCAGGCATGTGGGTCAGTCCTTCCCGGAAGACGCTCACCCCGTTTACGCTTCTCAAGTTTAACAGGCATATCGACATCGTCATGGTCAGGCTCAGAAGCATCCTCCGCTAGCTCAGTAGGCGAACCCACGGCGTGCGCATTCTCGCCATTTTCCACCTGCATTGCAGTGATATCCCCTGGTTGGGTATCCACGTTGTCAGTCATCACGGCAAAGAAGAAGTCCTCCACAAGCTGAATGTAGCCAAGGAGATGTACTGCAACACCCAAGAGGAGGGATAGCGAGGAACACCTTCACAAAGAAGTGCACCCAAAGAAGTCACCCCGGGAGGCAATGCGGTACAAGACACCCACGTGGAAGTCGAGGAAGACAAGCTTCACAAAGTCGACGGAGAAGAACACCCAAAGTAGTCACCCCGAGAGACGATGCGATCCAAGGTGTTCACGTGGAAGTCAAGGATGGCCAGCTTCACAAAGCCAAGGAAGTTCCCAATGACGAGGTAACGAGGTTGTGATAGCGAAGGACGACCACCGAGAGAGCACCAACCAGACAAAGAAGCTCACCCTCAGCCACTCCGTTGCCCAGCAGCCAGCCACCAGCGTACCGGAAAAGCACGCGAAAGTAGAGGTCCCCCTCAGCCAATGAGGAACCAGCGAAGAAGAACCGGTGAATCAGGTAAAGGGCGGAGACCGGGTTCAGGTCAGTGAGCGACACCAGGAAGAACAGGTAGCGCCCGGCACAGGAGGGAGAGGCAAGGGAACAGGGACGCGAAGCTGGCAGAGCCTCGAGCACAACAGCTTGAGCCGTAGCCATTTGGTTTAGGGTTTAGGGCTTAGGGTTTAGGGTTTAAGGTTTAGGGCTTGGGTTTAAGGTTTAGGGTTTAGGGTTTAGGGTTTAGGGTTTAAGGTTTAGGGCTTGGGTTTAAGGTTTAGGGTTTAGGGTTTTAAGTTTATGGTTTAGGGGCATGTTCTGTACAAGACCAGGCATTATGAAGCGCAACAAGGTAGGGATATCCCTGTAAACTGCTTACACTTACGTCCGTGTGGGGTCCCTAAATTCATGCCTAAACCCTGCAATTTTGGACAGTGTAGTTGGGTGGTGAAGTTGACGATGTTTTAGCTTGACAGATACCTCCAAGCCAAGTTAGCGCATACTTTGACAACTTCTACAATACTGTTTATGCTCAGTCCTAACTCTCTGCTTCAACAGACGGGCTCCAAAAAGTTTAAACTTTTTAAGATAGAGCTAATATATGCGGCCAAAAAGTTTAAAGTTCCCCCGTTCACGATCTACTGCTAAACCCTAAGTCCGAACACCCTAAACCCCAAAGCTCTAAAGCCTAAGTGGCCCAGATCGGAGGTGACTAGGCTTCCATGCAGTTTTGGGTTTGGGGCTTAGGGTTTACGGTTGCTTATGTAGCATAATATAAGGGGCAACTGGGCGTCCTAAGGTAGGGTTTAGGGTTTGCAGTGCCCGTCATCCCAAGCTGGATGTTGAACGGAGGGCACCTGATCATGTTCAACTGAACAAGACTATCGTTTGCAACCATTAAGCACATTCATCACACCTGCAAGCCAAAACCCTACACCCACTGAACAACAAATGTTGAACCCGCGATCTGTACGATTTGTAATCTCCTACAAGCCCTAGAAAGACCGTAAAAACCTCTTGTATATCCTACAAAGCCAGAGGCCTAAAACAAGACTTGCTACATTGCAGTCACCAGTAAAGGACCGCTTACAGGGATTCTTACAGCAACCCTTGTCGAGCTTCTTTACGTGTCTGTATAAGTATAAGCTCGGGGTTAAACGCCCTTGGTTTCAGAGCCTTGCACATCCCGAATGAAGAACCGTTTAGCGCCCCCAAAACACCTTATGAAGCCCGGTGAGACCCCCAAACTCACCTCAACTCCAAACCCAAAGCCGTAGCCCCCAAAAAAATCCCAAACCGTAACAAAAGATCCTAAACCTTTAAACTTAAGCGCTAAACCCTAAACCAACGAAAACGAAATCCTTGCAACAGCCACGTCCTCTGCGCCGGGCTGGCTGGAGAGCATCAGTCGCGCGCGCTGGCGCGCAGTGAGGTCTCCGGGGGCCGAGTTCTCCCAGCCACGGCTCAGGCCTCGGGTCTGTTTCAGGGATTGGGGATTTTGAGCTTGAGGGGTCTGGGGTGATAGGGCTTTGAGGCTCTTGGGGGTTTAGGGGTTCAGGGTTTCAGGATTTCGGTTTTTAGGGCTTTAGTTAGGGACCCAAAAAGGCACATAAGCATGAGCATTTTATAGGGATATCCCTACCTTGTTGGGCTTCGTTATAAGGGGGTTTATATGGGAGATCCCTCTCCGAATTTATTTCTTATGTGCTTTTTTGGGGGCCCTATGAGTATTACGGGGTTCGAACTTTTTCAGGTTTAGCGACCCAGGCCTTCGGGCTGATGCCCCTACAGTAAACCCCAGAAAGGGTTTAGGGTTTAGGGTTTAGGGAAGGACAAATAGTGCTGGGATTCTCTGTACATTGCTCTTAAGGATTGAGGCTGTTGGGTTTCCAACTTTTGGGCTTCTACCCTAAACCCTACACCTTCAAACCCTTGACATCGTAAATTTGTTGTGTCCACACGCTAAGGTAAAAGCCAGAAAGTTGGAATATCATTATCCTAACCCCTTCTATGGTAAATTATAGGGGATCCTACCATGAATCCATATTCCAACTTTCTGGAGTTCCCGGTAAGCCCTAAACGCCTAGATTCTCCGCCCTGGAACTCGAAACTGCCAGTCTCCAATTCCTCTAAACCCCTGAACACCGTAACCCGCCTAAACCCCCTAAAGCCAAGGGTCCAAGTACCTAATAATCATATACTCTCCGAAATCCTATCCTACATAACTACTATCCTACGCCGAGTACCTACCCATTTATTGGGTCCTCTGGACTTTTAGGGTAATAGTTACCAATAATATTATGGGGGGGCCTTATTACAATTCTAGTACAATGCTCCCCAAAACCCT